ACAGCTTTGCATCTGCCAGCTTCACAGAACTTCAAGACACTGGTCTGGTAGACTACGTACACACGTACTTACCTAGGTATGTAGGTAAGTACACTAAGGCACACAGGCAACTTTGTTAAGTTACTTTACACCAGAAAAGGCAACAGAATTTAGCAGAAAGCTTGATACTGAAAGGAAATTGAACTGCTATTAACTGCCTCGTTTTCCAGGGTCATTTCTTTGAGGTTCTTTGGATATGGGCAGTTGGGAGACAGACACACTAAATATTACTTGCAATAAGAAAACGTAAAACAGAACAGATAAAGTTTGCAGCATTTAAATATTGGTATGGCAATTGTTGCAGCAGACATTTGGCCCAACAATAATTGGAAAAGTGCCACCCATTCATCAAAACTGGATCTATTTACAGACATATACCTTTTTGAAATTAAACATCTGTATCATAGACTTCAACTGAAAGTCTCATTGCAGATGAGATGCCTGAAAAGGCATGTTCCTCTGGCATCTGCTGTTTTCAATAAACTGTCATATTCTTATAAGTTAATACACCAACATGAAGTTCACAGTTTAATTATTCAGACATTTCAAATGGATGGTAGTACCTAAACCAAAACACAACTGTACTTGATTTTAGTTCTATCCATACAGATCTAGGTCAAATGCTGGTCTCAAAACTCAATCCTGAATGAGCAATCCACAAAACTCCCGGATTCTTTGGATTGGAGATTCTCAAACTGTAGATAAGGAGTCCTAAAGCTTCCTACACAAGCATGCAATATAGATTTATCCTGCAGAAGACATAAAACAGCAAAGACTACATGCCTCCATGGAGGCAGATTATAAGGCTCACACAAGATACTAGGTTCTAAACTCCTGCAAATCATCTGATTTACAGTAACTATCGCTGTGTATTCTTTACCCACAGCAAGCGTAAAACAATTTGAATTAAGAACACCATGGTTATTTGGAAAGGAAATTTCCCAAGATCTGTTATATACTGCGGAGCTGCTAAGACCCATTGCTTTTAATAAAACTTTACTCCACAAGGCCCAGTGTGCAACAAAGAAGGAACATCTCTGCTGCGTCTGAAAACTACAGAAGAGGTAGCAGACGGTTCAGGCACAAGACTCAGGCTTATTGCAAAACTGATCATAGTAGGTTGGCTGATAAAATCTTCATGTTTAGTACTTAAAGGCCATGGAAGAAAGCACTGGTTTGTAAACTCCCAACAGGACTATCACTGTTAATCAGTGGCATAGCTTTGCAACTAGACCATACCACCTTGAAATGAACTTCAGTATATGCAGCACTACTTAGTAAGGCCAAAACAAACTACAGCCATGCCCCAGTATCAACAGACACTCCTCAATGCATAGTTTTTAGCAGTTTGACAGAGTAAAACTACTTTTCCCACAAAAATTAGTGTAATAAATGGGAGATATATGCAGCAAAGAATATACTGAGATATCCTAATGGAGAATGTCACAGAAGATTTAATCACCACCAGATTTCATTGCTACCACTTTTCTTGATTAATTCAATGGAAAAGGACAGAAATGTGAAGTGATCATATCAATTAACACTGCACTGTATTGAATGATCAGCAACAGAACTCTGAAGTGGAGAATAAAGAAGCAACAGATACAGCAAGGTGTGGCTGTACTTGAGTAACTAAATCTAGTTCTCTCACTGCAATCACACTTCCATTTAACATTCAAGATCACACAAAATCTACATGAAAGTAGCTCAGATGTGTAGCAGCACAGATAAGTCATGGTGAATTTCTTGCAAAGAAGGAAGCAGTTCATACCATTTAGAGCAGTGTGCTCCTCTGCAGAGCCCACTGCTCTTCACCAGCTGCTGATGGCAAACCAGCCCTATACAGCCTGCTCTGTGAAGTGCTAAGTGCACCAGCACTCCGGATGCTAATTGCTACTGCTCCCCTGTGCCTCCCTTTCAAATGAGGGGATAAAAAAAAAAGTATGTCACAAGGATCATAGAGATACTAAAGATGAAGGGAGAATAAAAAAAAACCCCGTGAATTTGGCAGATGGATCACGATGTCAAGAGGTAAAGTATCGTTAGGGCACAAACAGCCTTGCTGCGGCAGAGTGTGGGAGCTTCCCCTGTGGCAGCGCACGGCAGCTCGGGGAGAGGAGCGGATAGCTTTGAGCCCTTTCTGCGGGCGGCGGCGCCGTGCGAGCGCTGCCCAGAGCGCGGGCTCGGGCATGGCCGGGCCTGCAGCGCCCCCGCGCGGCCGCTCCTCGCGGCGGGCACCGCGCGGCAGCGCCGCCCTGGGAACGCAACCTCGCCACCGAGCTTTCGAAAAGCCCCTTGGGCATCTAATTCCGTGCACGAGATCCGGCAGGAGCTGTACTTCTAACTCATTTACTCTGCTAACTTAGTTAAATACAAAAAAAAAAAAAAAGTTAAATTTAACAGCAGCAAAACAATCAGATTCAGGTGACACACAGATACTAGCCTCTGTCTTGGCATTTCTCTTGCCTCAAACGCTGCCAGGCTGCCAAACTGCACTTGGGACCAACGTCTGCTATTCCATACCAGTTATTACCCACATAGATACCTACTCCATTTAGTTATGCACATGATGACATGTAAAATTGTCCCATTATTTGTAGAAGGCTGTTATGCAGCACTGTTTAAAAATATGACAATCCATGAAGGGAAAACTTTTATTTTATTGCAATATGTACCTAGAACAGTGCTTCCAATTCCCATCCTTTCAGAAGGGCAGTAGATACGCTGTGCAAGATGGGAAATGAAGTTACTATGATGCCATCTGGGGAAAAAATGGTTTAGTGCTAGACAGAGAGACTCTGGAGAACCTTCCATCCCTTATGCACTCATTACCAGAAGGCAAGCAGACATGGTCTCCAATTCATAGATCCCAGGAAACAAGACTGCAGTAGTCACAACAACATGGTTTTACGTATTGCAAAGCATCTGATTTAACTAGGAAAGTGCTGTCAGAAGAAACAAGAAATCTGAAGACCAGCAAAGATAAGATAGTACTCTGAATGGTATTTAAGTCAAAGGACGTCAGAGTTTCTTTTTCCATGAGGTATTTGCAATGGTGCCTGCAACTATATGTTCTTTACAGTGATTCTGGTAGGTCTGTGTTGGTAGACAGCAGCTTCCAAGGAACACTTCTGTTACTCAACTCCACCAATATCCAAAGTCAGCTATAAATTCAGCATAATCCTGATTGCTCTCCTTCAGGACAAATTTTCCACTTCTTCTGCCATGCAGACTCTAGTTTCAGTTGTGCTCTCAACATCCCTCCTATTTTGCTACTCTGGAGATCATTGTAAATTCAAAAGGTATATACTGAGCTCAGACTTTATCTACTGTATCACTGCTTAATCAAATCAGCTCAACTGCTACAGTTCTTTTTTTTCCTCACACCAGCAAAGTGGGTATATCCAGACCACATACTTCTCCCAGACCATCCAATAAGTCACAGAAGTAGAATATTAACACCAACACATTTCATTGTCATTCAAACCAGCAGAGGTGCAGGCAGAAGAACTTACTTTCATTTTAAAAAGTTAGTTTGAAAAATACTGAGCCACATTGAAAAAAACCTCTTTTGATTATACAAGTAAAAGCCACAGTCCAAAATCTAAACCTATTCCTGGTAAACTGATGAGACAAGATGGGTTTTACATTCCAGGATATAGTCTCCAGGCTCATGTAATCATCAGCTTCAGCTAGTGACCAGAATTCTTACTTCAATGAACTGTCATTACATGCTGACTTGGCATTGCTTACAAAGTAAGGAGGGGAAGGGAATATTAATATTATATCCTCCAAGTATTTATAGAATAATCACAACATTCTCCACATTTATTTCCTTCTGGCTTTATAAGAGCTGCAAAAGAAACCCACCTTTCACTTACCTCTATATACTGTAATTATCAACACACAGTATGTGAAATGGAACAGAACAAGAAATTACAACTTAATAAGAAAACTTTAACAGAATGCTCAACAAGAAGGGATGGGAGCAGCAACTTCCTAAAACCATCTACTTTGCTCATATTCCCTTTAAGAATGGCTATCAGTATAAATGCTCTATCAGCATCTTTTTCTCTTAAAGGAAAAATATAAAACACATTTATGTTTCCCAGAGACAAGTCATGGTATTTTAACACTAAGTTGCTAATAAGAATCTCAGCACTCTCTGGGTCATTTAAGCCATCCACAGTGATTATGAGTGATTGTGTTTTAGAAGCAAATGAACTGAAGACAAAGCTCAGGATGTATTATCACTTGCAGCAATGTTAGCAGCTTCTATTCAAAAGAAAGCAACACCTATTTTGCTGCATATATTCAATGCCTGTGACTTTTTCACAGTGGGGAAAAAAATCTGTTCCCTGTATAAATCCAGGGCATGTCATTGCAAACAAGGTTTTTAATTAAAATTGGCATCTTTGAGCCTCCTGCTGACGGACAGCATTTCATTGCCTCCTCCTCAGATGGCTAAACTGGCTTCCAAGAGAGACCGTGAAAAGAAACAAAATCACTAGAATACCTAACTTTGACAAGTCTCTGCTGGGGACAATTTCAATAGCAGGATGCTGCAGAGAGAGGTAAAGAGAGAAAAGAGGACTGCTTAGGAAGTCTCCCCTAATGAAGACACAAAACATCACAAATAAGACATTAGAGGAAGCATTTTATTCCTAAGCCCAACGACAGGATGATCAAGGAGGACAATTTTAATCAGAAGCCATATTGTTAAAGAGAATGCAGAACTGTGTCTGCACCTCAGTGGGTAAAGCCTTCCTTTGAATGCAAAAGAAGGCTTAGGGGCTGGCTCTGGCTGGGAGGTTGGCTAAACTGTCACCTCTGACAAAGCTTTACCCCTCTCAGAAAACAGGCAGATACCGGTTCAAGTCAGACAGATAAATCAGACTTCTTGGCCAGAACATTTTCTTCAATTGATTGCAAAGAGTTTACATTGAGTGCCAGCACTGTACCTTCAGGAGGCTCTTCCCGCAGATGAGGAGGCAATTCTTCACTTGTAGGCTCAGTTTCATCATCCACCATCTGTGTTTCTAAGCTAGGGCCCTGCAGAACAGAATAGCAAGAGGAGGTAAATTGCAGAAAGTTCAGACAGGAACCACAAAAATGGTTACAGGACTAGAGAATATGCCAGCCAGTAAGGACAAAAGGAGCTCACTTTAGCTGATGAGAAAGAAATAGCAGGGAGATTTGTTTGCAGTTGAAATACAGAAAGGAGAAACTTAAAAAAAAAACCCACGCATTAAAAAGAAAAAGACTTTTCACAACAGCACATGAAGTTACAAGGGTCTGAATTTCTTAACTGCCTGAAAACCAGTGAAGCACAATTTCTAAATTACTATTTCCAAAACACATAATGCAGTAACACATTAAAATTTCCATTTATCAAGGATAGCAGCAGACCCACCATCAACTGGAATTCTTGGGAAAAAAACCTTCTCTTTGTTTTACCAAGACTAGATTCTGAAATGTCATTTGTTTCAAAGGAAAACAAAGCAAACTGGTTTGCAATCTTCTAACCTATGCAGGTCTGTTGACTGTGGAGTTTTCCCCTACAAGCTCAATACATCCATTTATGCCTCCATGTGTAATATGCCAAACTAACCATTCCTGAAAAACTACTGGGCTACCCTCCCAGGCTTTGCATTTCCATGTTCCAACCTTCTTGATCCTGTAAAGAGCCTGCAATGTTACTGCTGGAAGGACATGAGCAGAGTTTAAAAGATTTGCAGCTGAACTAACTTTGCACACACAATATTTTCATTACATGTGGAGCTATAAAAGTGTAGTTGCTTTTTCAGTTTCAAACTATCACAGGAAAAAAACCCCCACCATCTTCTTCCACTCAACTTACCTTTTTTTTTTTTTAAGTTACAGAAGAGTAAACACTAGGCATAGCTAGAGGGCTCCCCTAAAAAAGCCTAATTTTTTGCAATGCTAGTACAGTGAAGAGTAAAATGACAAACTTAGCAGTCATTAGGAAATGAAGCTTTTGTGCACTTTGAAAACATGACTGGGTTTGTAGTCTGAACTATCTGAAAATGTGTACTAACATACACAGCTGGAATGTTACAGAAGTACAGCTGGTACATCAACAGCTTGCAAAATGTTATTATTGTAAGTCAGGAAGAAAAGGGGCTCATGGTCCTAAAGCTGCAGCATTTAGTTTCATTCTTTCCAAACCCTGTGACTGAGAGGTTACCTCAACAGCATTGGCTACTTTCTCTGTTTCCTCAATTTGCACATCATGAAAAGTAACAATTGTCAAATTCCATCCTTTGCGCAAGTAGCTCACATTTTCATCCATTCCCCATTATTTTCAACCAAATGAACATGAAAACAAAAAGTACCACCTTACTTTTCAGATGTTTTACAGCAGGGAAAAAAGAGACCACCAGGTGAAGTGTACAGGCCTACTGTGATGGGGCCAGGGTCAGAACCTGGATTTCTGCCATCCATGACTATGCAAGTTTTACCTAGGCTATTTACCGATTTCTCCTTGCTTAAAAACACACAATATCAGGTGCCCAGCTTTGGTCAGTGAAGAGTTCAAACATTAAGTCATGCCTTGTAGTAGCCATCACAGAAAGGAAAGAAACTGTTTACCACATGGTACAGATGGGAAAGTAGTAAATTGCCTTAGTCCAATTAAAAAAAAAATAATCCCAGGAGCCAATAATCAACATCAAGATTCAACTATCTCCTCACTTCAACTAAATAATGTGGTCCAGACATTAAGAACATGTAAATAATTCTGAGTAAGAGCAACAAGTTGAATATAAAGTATGTATTTGAGTAAGTTTCTACACCAACTGGAAATATGTGAATTGACACTTCTTTCCTATTCATCAGTGCCACAGAGAGAAAAGAAAAGGAGGAGAGGGAAGGAGAGGCTACAGCAGTATACCAGATCAAAAGATTTATTTTTCATATAAAACATATGGACATGTAAGATATGAGGCACCAATGTGCCTTGGAAACATTCTAAACCACAACTATTGAACTCCTAAACTAGAAGAGGTGTTGAATATGAATCCTGTGCCTGTACTTTCTGGTTTACAGCAATAAAATTACTTTAATTTGTTAAAACAAGTAAGACCTATCTGCACATACTAGCTATATGCTGCTCAAGGAGACAATCCAACTTCCAGGGACTGTGGAAAAGCCAGCAAGAAAAGCTTTGTCTTCCCTTCTTCAGAATAGTCAGTATTCTCAATTTCCTAAGAGACAAACCTGCTCAGCAGCTTCTCCTAATGACAGCCCATGATAATTGATGCTCCTTTGGGTTACAGTTGTTGCCATCTACATAAATACAAAGAGGATGCAAAATGCTACCCAAAGTGAGTGGTGGCATTATGGTTTTTTCTTCCTCACATATGAGCTACTACTGCTTGTGTTCACTAGCAATACAATGCTCCAGTATGGCGGATATCACTGACAACACTTACTCCAAAACTAAGATTTCTTAATTGAAGGTCAGCCTTGTACCTAAGCTAGTATTAACCAATTCAGCTGTGAGAAAAAAAGAGCTCATTACAGACCACCATGGCTGAGACACTGTTTGCCATCACAAATTTTCCTCCAATTCAAAACTTTTAGCAGTTGCTACTGGAATACTACAGGAGAAAAATGCTCAATACAAGACTACTGCTTCTACAGAGCATGCTGAATATCTAACAGAAATGACCAGAATTTCTGAGGATTTTTTTTTTTCACTACTCAAAACCACTTAATCATAACACAGCATATTTTAACTGTATTTAGCATACATTTCCTGTATGGTTTTGAGAATTCTTCCCAAACAAAAAACTATTTACAATTTTTTTCCCTCAATTTAATGTTAAAAAGGAAAATAGTCTAAAGTGAAGCATGGACATGTCAGGTAATCCCCAATTTTAATTTTTTCAAGAACTCTTTTGCAAGAAACTTTTCAATCTTAAGATTTCCTAGTTGCTAAAATAAAGTTCGAAATGTTTTCTACAGAGTAACTCCAGTTCTCAGTTCACTGATATCTTATCACAATATATGATTGTGTATGATATATCACATTTATGATACAGGGAGCTTCTAAAAGTAGTCTTGTAAATATCTGTTTATCAGACTTCAGCATGTCTGTCTAATCACTGAGGCCAGTGAATAAGTGTGCATGGTACTGAGATTCACTAATGAAAATGTGCAATAGTTAACAGTAGATGAAGCTCTGGGTCCTCATATACATATCCATAAGTAATATTTAAGGCTCAAACACTGACAGGCATCATTGACAAGATTACAAATTCTCTTTAAAATAGCTTTTTTTTTTTCTTGTGTTAGCATGTCCATTGCTTTTTTAGTTACATCTGCTGAGTTCAATTCACTGGACCTGCTGCAAGCTTGGTAATCAACATTTACCATATCTACAGTTCTGGCAGCACAGTCATCTATAGCAATCCAAAAAAAATCCAGGAAATTATCTTCTGAGAAGGTTTGTAACTATGCTAAGGTTGAGTCCAATAACTTTGTCTCAACCTTTCTTTTTACACTATCATTTCAAGAATGAGGCACCAGTTACATCTCCTTTTTTCATTCTTAAGGATCCATGACAGACAAGTAGGGGAATGGGATGCTCACAACTGTGGAAGTTATTGGCTTGCAGGTTCAATATTAATCCTCTGGAGCTGTAGTGGTGGCAGAAGGAACTGTACACAGATTGCTTCTGCTTTGACATTCCCTCAGGAGCATCTGGGATGCAGGAAGGTGTATCAACAGCTCAGGAACATCAGCAGATATTACTGTACAATATTCTTTCGATTATTTAGGGTTTGTAATAGCCTCTTAAATTGGGAATGAGTTCCTATTCCTCACTAGAACCACTGGAGAAGCACAAACGTTAACAGGTATTATTACAGAAAGTTAGGTTATGGCACAGAGCCTAAGAATATACAGCTAAGAAAAACCTCTTAGCTCTTCAAAGACAGTCCCTGCCCTCAACAAGCGAGCACTTCATACAATTCCTTGATGAGTACTTGACTAGGAGCACCATTAAGGCTTAGCGGCAATTTTTCTGTCATATTTTAACACCGTCTCCAAGCTGAAAAGGTAAACTCAAGCAGAGGCAACACCCACCCTTCCAAAATGAAGTTAAAGATGTGAGATTTCAAGGTAGCTCACTCTGCTCCTGCCAACAGTTTCAATGAACTCTTAAGGAAGCTGGAAAGCTTTGTATGAACTCAGCAAATCATCAATCCTAAAGGAATTCTCACAGAAACTGAGAAACATACAATCCCTTGTTCTGATCACACTGCATGACTACTGACCTTACAATGCAGTTTAACCCAAATGCTATGGACTGCTGTGACCTGGCAAATTATTGTTTGTGGATTTATAATGTGTTTCATAGAAGGCTATGTATTTATGGACAGAGAGGGCTGCCAGTACTGAACTAAACAAGTGTGACAAATTGCATACAGGCATTTCAGAGTATACCTCATGCTCTTCCACAGGATACAGTATTTTGAGAATAATCCTGACCAGAAGTTCAGCTATATGCTCAGATTCTCAGTATATTTAAAGGCTGTACATTTCACAAGTGCTGTAGTAAATGCATGCATGACAGAAAGCAAGTTCCTATCCAGTCAGGGTCAGCATTTTCCACAAGGTACAGAGTTATGTTTATGACACTGAAACCAAGAGCTCCATTTATCACCACATTTATACTAACAAGTGATACCAGCATGCTCAATCAGACAAGGAGCCATACTACCTCAATCTCAGCAAAGTAATAAATACTCAAAATACCCACACAGTACAGGAGCAATCCCAACACCAAGCAATCAGTGTCAGCTCATTTTGCTCATAGGTCAATACCAACATGAGACTGTCACTGTAAATGCCCCAATATGGCTCTGCTTTCTAAAGAGTCGTCTTGAAGCAACCAAAAATCCTACCTGCACCATCACCACTTTTAGGCCTTTTAGACTCTACTTTTGTACTTGGCATTATATTAATTATGGTATATAATCTTAAACTGAAGTCCATCAATTGACTGCTCACTGAGTCAGGAATTC